CCTCCCATAAAAGCTAAAAGGTGGCCGGCCCAACATCTTTACTGGTATGAAATCTTTTATACCGGCTTTTACATATTACTCTAGTGCAGGAGCCCATAACCCGGAGCGATCGAGCAACTTCAGTATCAGGCCTATGTCACGGAGTTTTTACGGACAAGTTTATTTTTAGGCACATTTTAGGGCACTTTTTCCCGCGAAAATAGAATTTGCACCACGTCTATGAGCGAATTCGAGACTACGTGTACCCTCTGAGTTTTTGGTCAGTGTTTATGATGTTTTTTTATATTTTTGCTTCTTTTAAACTAATATTAATAACGAAATCACTGATAATTGTTTTTGTCTGATTTGAGATTGATTTTGCTTTCACTTATACAAAAAAATATCTATAGGTTTTAAAACAGTGTCCATATCACTGTTCTCCATCGTCACCAAAAAAAATAATAAAGCGGCGGTTTTACCAACGCAAAGGCCATTTTAGAAAATTAGAGTAGGGGTTTGCGCATGACTGAGTGAAAGATGAGCACTTCCCCGCTCTACCCCCTACGTTTTAAAACGCTCCTCCGCCTCTGAATTAAAAATTTAAAAAAAATGATGCTAGAGCCAGTTCAGTTTTTATTTCAAACCTCGGGAATACAGTGTATCATTTAAAACTACTTTAATGTCAAGCTAAAAAGGGAGATAAAACAATATATCTCTGACGTCCTACTTGTTTCTAAACGAAACAGTTAAAAAATAAAAGAAAAAGAAGTAACTTCACGGCATTTAGGATATCATAAAGTTTCTCTGTTACTAAAAATCTTGACTCATATATCACATATATCGAGGTCCAAATGGACATAAATGAAGTAGAGAAAGAATACCACTCTAATCGCTACGTGTAGTTGTATGAGGGTGATGTTCACATAAATGAATTATCAGTGTTGCCGTATCTACAAAACCGAAAGACTTAGTAAAGATAAGGACTGTATTTTCCTGAACACCGGAGCCGTAGCGATTCTTCCCTCCCCCCTCCCCCGGAAGCAGTGTTGTTGTGTCTTCAAAAGAAAGCGTTATCCCTGGGCATTTGTCGGAAGCAACGTTAAACTGGGGGTGAGGGGGGTGAGGGTTTCCTTTACGCAGAGCCGTTGATTTAGAAATAATTTTGTTGCGTAAGGTAGTGTGCATTTACGAAAAAACGTTCTCAAGTAGTTTTGTCCGGGATTTTAGAGATGCGCTTATAACTGCACGTCTATTTTGATTATAGGTAAATTTAGTGTTATGAGCCGATAACTGGGGGACTAAACCCTTTAACTCCCAGAAGTGATCGGCATCTAACTTCTCCTTATAATATCAATTCATTGTTCAGCAGAAAGGTGATGAGAATAGGGAAATGTAGCAGCCAGAGGATGCACTTTTGACATAAACCCAAATTCTCTGAGCTAATATTCAGTTAAATGTATAGCAGCCGGAGGGGAGAATTACTTATCAGATCTTGGGAGTAAAAGGGTTGAAAGTATGGGGACTTATGAGTGTACGGTATATGAACAATCAAAGATACAAACACGTACTTCAAGAGTTTCATCAAGCTTCAGTGGACTTTATTGATGAGAAGTACAACTAAAATATAACACCACAGCCGGACACGTAAACCCCGAAAAACCAATTGTGGCAAAAACGGGGACCGTGTACCCCCGATCAGTGCTATGATGCATTTAGCCTTTGGGGTTTTAAGGCTTACTACTGTAAATACATATAATACGAGAAAAAATTAAGGTCAATTACAAATAAATAAAAACATGTTCGCGGAGTTTAGGCAACAAGGCTCACTCTAGAATAGCGCGACTTGAATATCTGTCGCTCGAGTAATGATTATCAAAGCGCGTTTTGCTCCATAGATATCAAATTATGTTTATTGGATCAATGAAAAGAGTTGGAAGCCATGATTCCCTACCTATCACTCAGAAGATAGTCGCTATAAAGTTTTGCAGACAAATTTCAGATCAGGCCAAGAATTTTCCTCGGAACCTTTGAAGATCTTCATGCATTAGAAGGTTATTGCAGTTTATGTTACATGTTAAGCTACAGAATCAGCGTTTAGGCATTAATTAAGAAGAGTTCAGAAGTTCCAAGTTACGCTCTAATTTTCGCAGCCGAATTGAGAAAAAAAATAATAATAAAAACATTACAACTGCACACAAAAGAAGTCTTCCATTAGTAAAATAGCTTTCTTCCTTTACATCATGGCTCCCACACAGTGCTACATGTATATATCTAGCACGAAGCAGATAATGAAAAGAAATAGAATACGGCTTTTTATGGTTTTCACTCTTAACAGCGTCCTTAGAATAACAAACCATATAGTTCGAAAATACATTATCTATATTTACTGTCTTTATTTCGTAAAATCCTAAGAAAATTACTAGCACTATGAGAAACTAGAAGTAGAGTCACAAAAACTTTAATTGTATGGTGACCTCATACGATTTCCACCACAAACTGCAAGGTAAGAACTACAATTTCTTTCTTTCATGCCTTGAACTAAGAGTTCGTTTAGTATATAGATTTAGTTCATCGGCCGAGAAAAGACTAACCCTTCAATGTTCAGTACATAGGGCTATGTTCAGACTTACTGCTGTTTAGAAATGTCTGGTAAATTACAAAGTCAAATTATTCATTTGTCACATTTTATCCCTATAGAAGTGGAATCTATTTTCTTCAAAAAATGAACCTTGCTGGCTAAAGCAAGCGCTAGCGCGGCGAAAAGCAATCTGTTTAAACTTGAGCCTTAATTGAATATTACTAGTTATAACTATCGCTAAGCGCTAACATAGTTAACTATGGTGCCAACGAGCAAAGATTTTACCTATACGCGCACTCTGTTCAATTTTTTTGGAGATGTCACGAATTACTGTAATTTACGAGAATGCAGACTGCAAGTTAGGCATGTGTCCGTCATTTACCGTCATGGAACTCACTGCTCTCACAAAAGTTACCTTACACTACTCGCTTGTGACTTCGCGCACGTGTTCGCTACAAAACAATGCATTCTCTGTTCTACATTATGTCATAAAAGTTACCTTACACTACCTTATGTTACATCGCTTCTAAATTCATTCCGCCTTGGAACTTTCGCGCACGGCTTTATTACGCTGCTGCCTCGCAGCCTCGCGTCTTCGCTGCTCGTTGGCAATAAAGTCTATCTCGATCTATAGTAGTTTAAAGCTGATCTTGGTTTCTCGTGCTGAAGGTAAGGTAGTAGGGTAGTATACAACCACACTCATCCTCCGATATGATATATGAACACGCCCAATGTCACTCTTTTCCTGGAAGCTGTTGGGACGAAAGGAGAACATACCTTTATTGTTCGAATTTTAAAGGATCTTTCTATTACTGCAGAGAATTAAATTTTCACCGTGTATTTGAGAACAAATAGCCTTAACTTCATCATAGAAGTAATTTCGATCAATGCCTACTGCTCATTTATATTCCTTTGTTTTTGCAATTAGATTACAGTATAAGCAAAATCCATTGATGGAGTTGTGTCCAGTCCAGAACCGCGTTTACTGTCCTTCCTTTGCAGTTCACAGCGTTGATAAGTAAAGCAGGGAAAGCTAACGACTGAGGCTAGTCAAGACCTCTGGTTTAACTGGACACATTATCAAAGGGTACAATTCCCTCACCCCTCTCGTTGCAGTTTTGGCTCTTTGCGTTTACCCTATCGAAGCTGGCTCGTTCCCAGCCGCCTCTCTTGTCTCTCTCGGTCACAGAACGGTCGCGGGAGACTGTCAACGAAGAAATAGTCCAGGTGACTCCCTCATTGATATTGAGTGAGAGAAGCTGGGGAACAGTTAGGGATTTTTAAGAAGAACGAAGATTACTGTTCTGACACTTACCATTTAACGTCGCCATGGTGATAAACCGAGCATTGGGGTTTCTTCGTCATCGTCGTCATCGTAATCGTCATATACATTCCCCAAAAGTAATGATAGCAACATTTCAGGTTAAAACACCGTAGTTTTCAATTATATTTTTGTCCTTAGTATTGTCAGGCCGTTTTTTACATGAGGAAACTTTCAAAGTTTGATTTTAAGTGACGCGACACGAGGAAACATCTCTTTTTCAAAAACGTAGTGTTCCGCGCGTTTTTGCTTTTTGTTCCTTTAATTGCTTTAGGAACAACCTAGGAAAGCACAATAAAGGAACTTTATTTGCACAATAGGAACAAAGGTCGGCAAATTTCGGAACAATCTGGTCCGTTAGCAGCAAATTGGAACACAAAGTTCCTTTTCGTTTTAGTCAAAAGGAACAACTGGTTCCACTTTTATCCTTTCAGGAACAAAAAGGTCCTCTTTCAACAGTTCCGATTTCCCTTCATGTTCCTTTCGAAGTGATTGGGGAACAAATGTTCCCAATCTAATTTCTTGCTCTACACAGTAAGGAACAAATTGTTCCTATTTACTGGCATATCCACTGCTGTTCGGAACGCCTTGTTCCCTTTCGGTTCAAATTGTTCCTATTCATGCCCAACAGGAACGGAATTGTTCCTAATCGAGGTGGTTTCTTGTTCCTCAAGATGAGTGTTATGTTCCGCTTAAAAATGGGAACAGGTTCCGAATTTGTGACAAAGGAACTAGTGTTCCATTTTGCGCAAAGTGTAAAAAGGAATTGGGAACGATAGTTCCTATTTATCGTAGGCTATCTGAAACTACTGTCCATCACCTCCGCTATACAAATTTATCAAAACATGTATCCATCAACAATCAAGTTACGTACGAGACTTGCCCGCTGCATGCTTAATCTCGTTTGGGCTTGCCCGCGCAAGTTCAGGTTTGTGTCTTTGTTCCTTTTGATTAATTGTGTACCAAATACGGACAAGAAAACAATGGGGCAAGGGCAAGAATGACCAAGTGTGGGCAGAGATAGGCTAACAACTATCTCATTGGCGAATAGGATGATCTCTTGGGGACCATTTTCCTAGTATAAGTGCATGCATACTTTAGAAAGATATCGATTTCAAGCTAATGCTTAAGATGAACAAACGAGGCAAGGATGTCAACTGGTCAAAGTTAGCAAATGCATCGCCTAAACCGAAGAGACTTCACTTAGAAGAGGATGACTGTGATGGTCTTTTTCACTGCCCAGTGCAAATTTGTAACCACGATGGATTCACTACGCAAAGAGGCTGTAGAAAACACGTAAAGAACAAACACGGTTGGTACTATTACTTCGACGAGAAGCCAAACAGTGCTCAAATGGAATCGTTTCACAATCAGTCCGAGAAAATTGAAGCCAACGATCGGACGATTCCACGTACAACGAGAGCAATTGCCTCATTCGACTTGAAAAACAACATTGCTAAGAGTTTTTTCTCATGGCTAACTGGCAGCGGCGGGGGTTGTAAAAGCGATCGACAAGCACAGCAAATTGTCAGCAGGTGTTTAAAGTTTCTCAAATTCTGTTGCGAAGACGAAGAGGAACTCACATTTGGCATTGTTGATTTTAGCCTATGTTCACCGAATCTCCTATTTAAATTCGTTGATACGATGCAGGATGAATGGAAACTCGGACACGCGGGACGGATAGGTTACTTGGACGCCATTGCAGAATTAGCGGATTTCAGAAAAGCAAACGGCGCATCAGAAACAGTATGGAGAGGCCTGTCCACAGCAGAAATGTACTTAAAAAGGGCACGAAAAACCGTCTCAAAGATGATGAGGTTGCAATGGACCAGCGAACTCGATATTGACGCTTTGGAAGCCAAGGGACACTGGGCCAACATGGAGGAGCTTTTAGAGGTGGTGGGGCGTTACTTGCCGCGCTACGAGAGCGTGCTTAAAACATGCAGGGTTAAACCAGATACTGTTTCCCCACTGGAATTATCGTTTGCTACCAAATTTCTGGCCGTCTATTTGTTTATCAAGGTTAAAGGCTCACGCCCGATGACATACCAATATCTAACCGTAGAAATGGTCGACAAAGCTAAGACTAACGGCGGATTCATAGACCAAAAACAATTCAAGACAGCTGGAAAGTATGGTTTTGATTCTCTTTTCCTGACAGACACCAGTATGCAAGTCCTAGAAGGTTACATCAACCACATTCGCCCACTTCTCAAGCCTAACTGTGAGTATGTTTTAGTCACGAAAAATGGTCGACAACATAACAAGCTAGGAGAAGCAATGAGTAAATTGGTGTTCGATGCAACAGGCAAGTATGTTCACCCAACTCGTTACCGCCAAATAGTGGAGACGGCAAGCTCTAGAACTCTTAGCAGTAGCGCGCAAGATGCGATCTCCGAGGACCAGAAACACAGCGAAGTTTTTGGATATTGTTAATATTCATGCGCCACTCCGAACTAGACGTACTAGAACAAATAAAGCACCCTGGATCAATTCAGAATTAAAGAAAGGCATGCGTGATCGTGATGCTGCCAAAAGAAAAGCAATTACATCGAATGATCCACACGATTGGAAAAGGTACAAAAAGTTGCGAAATATAATAAACAATGACATCAAAATTTCTAAAGCATCTTATTATTCTAATGCATTTATTCAATCTAAGGGTAATCCTCGAAAAACGTGGCAAACCTTTAATGAGCTTACATCCCGTCGTGTGAATAATACAACGGTGAAAGAACTGAAATTGAATGATACCATTATCTCTAATTCTAGTGAGCTTTCTGATGCTTTTAATGACCATTTTTCAACAATTGGGCCCAGACTTGCTAATGAAATACCTCTAACTGCTGAAAATAATTCAAGTTATATCAATAATATAAAGGTAAATAACAACAATTTCAGCTTCTCCTCGACTAACTGCAGCATTGTTTTCTCACATCTAAACAAATTATGTAGATCTAAAGCAACTGGTCTTGATAATATTTCTGCTAAAATTGTACGTGAATGTGCTGATCTTATTTCAGTTTCACTATGTGATCTCTTTAATAAATCTTTAGTCTCTGGTATATTTCCTGATGATTGGAAATGTGCTAGAGTTACTCCGTTGTTCAAGGAAGGTGAGCCATCTGATCTGAATAATTATCGACCTATTTCAGTCATTTCCGTTATAGCTAAAGTGTTTGAAAGGATTGTTTATGATCAGTTGTATAACTTTTTGACCAATGAAGATATCATTTCTAATCATCAATCGGGTTTTCGCTCGTTACACTCAACTGCAACTGCCCTTCTGGAAGCTACGGATAATTGGGCCTTTAATATTGATCGTGGCAATGTTAATGCTGTGGTTTTCCTCGATTTAAAAAAGGCTTTCGACACCGTTGACCACGATATCCTTCTAGCTAAAATGAACCTTTACGGAATACAAGGTACAGCTCTTGATTGGTTTAGGTCGTATTTAACTAATCGTACACAACGATGTCTTGTTAACGGTTCTCTTTCTAGAATCTGCTCTCTTAAATGTGGGGTACCGCAAGGAACAATCCTTGGCCCCCTTTTATTTCTTATTTATATTAATGACTTGCCAAACTGCCTTACTTCGTGCCACCCTAGAATGTATGCCGATGACACCCACATTACTTATGCTGGCGTTGATGTGAATTCAATACAGTTAACTCTGAGTCACGATTTAGATAACCTAAACAAATGGCTTATTTCCAATAAACTTACTTTGAACACTTCTAAAACTGAATTCATGCTAATTGGCTCCAGACAAAAATTGAGTACTTTGTCGAACCCACTTGAGCTCTCGATTAATAATGTTCCGATAGAACACGTTTCCTCTGTCAAATCGCTTGGAATATTTATTGATGAAAATCTACGGTGGCAAACACACATTGATAAATTATCTAAAAAGGTCGCTTCCGGAATTGGAGCAATAAAAAGAATTAGACCTTTTGTCCCTCCACCTACCCTTCACTATATATACAACTCACTAATTCAATCTCATTTCGATTATTGCAATCTTGTCTGGGGTAATTGTGGTAAAACATTATTTGACAGGCTACAGAAGCTTCAGAACCGTGCCGCTCGCGTTTTAACCTTCTCTAGCTATGATGCTGATGCTAACCGTTTGATTAGACAACTCGATTGGAAAGACTTGAGCACTCAATTTCAAATACAGAAATCCATAATGGTATACAAGTCTTTAAATGGCCTTGTTCCTGAATATTTATCATCTAAGTTTGTTAAACGAAATGAAACGCGTTACTCCCTGAGGGACTCTGTTAACAAACTATTTGTCCCATTTCCGCGAACTAATTTCATGAAAAACAGCTTTACTTATAGCGGAGCAGTTCTCTGGAACAGCCTACCCTGTCATGTGAGAGAGGCCGAATCTCTTAGTCAATTTAAAAGATTAGTTAATGTTCATTTTTAATGTTATACACGGCATTCATGAAAAACAGGTTTTAGTTAGATTAGTTGTAGTCAGGTTTTGAATTTTGTTTAGGATAGTTAGGTTATTTTTTAATTTTTTTAAATTCCTGATGGATTTTACCGTGTTTAAATAAAGATTGACTTGACTTGACTTAGCGCGCAAGATGCGATCTCCGAGGACCAGAAACACAGCTCTGTTGTGGCAAGAGTTCACTATCAAAAACGGCGATCTCGCGAAGTCGCCAGCAAAGCACATGCATTTTTGGAAAGACTACAGGGCGAGAGGGGATCAGAGCTAGAGATGGACGTACGCTCTAGGCTGTCTGAGAATTCAAGTTCTTCACAAGAACAAGATGTTGGCAGAACCGATACGTCTTCTAATGACGAAGAAGACGTAATCACAGATACAATACGCGAGCCTTTAGTAGGAGTGCCAAAATTGAGGCGCGAAAATGCGTTCAGAGTGACCGAAACAAACACGCGACGGAAGAGTTTAATGTTCACCCCCGAGGAAGACAAATTTCTCAAAGCTGGACTTAAACGGCACGGATTTGGGCAATGGAAAGCGATTCTAACAGACCCCGAATTTCAGTTCCAAAAGGGAAGAACGGCCAACTCTCTTCTGAGCCGAGCCGCTCGAAGATTTGGATCATATTCAAAATCGACGCAGCGCTGACAAGGTCCTACTTAACGAACGAACTCAAGGGCATGTAGCTATCTTAAATTCTTGAACTCAAATAAATGAATTATTGCAAACTTTAGCCCTATATAAAATGCGAGAAACAGCTATAGAAGGAAGAGATAATGTAAGCTAAATCCATAACGTCAACATGATTTATTTAATGACTGAATTCCTCGGCATGACCATGCCATCCTGGGGCTTCGTAGACAACATGCAAAAATAACGTATTATTTGAAACTGACAACAACGCATTAATAATACAAGTGTTCTGTGGCGTAAAGGCCTTCAAGTTAGTTTAACTTAGTATATCTTAAATTGCATGTACGGGCACCTAAGTTGATCCTACTTTTTTACACGTTTCTGCGAACTGAAAAAGGTAGTCACCCGCTTCTGTCCCTCGGTTGTTTGGCTTCTCGAGAGTCTTGCTCGCTTCGAAGGTCTGTTGTCAGGTGAGGGTACTCGCCTCAGTAATGGTGAAGAGCCTGTGCAAATGCTTTCATCAAATGAGGGCTCGTAACAAGGTGTCTTCGGTGTAATGAACATGTCCTCGCTCTCCGATTCGACGGCCTCCTGGCTCGTAGGTGGAGTAAACATCGTCTGGTGCGTGTCCTCAGGCGGGTCGTAAGATGGTGTCTTTCGCGTATTACTATGGTCGTTTGAAGCTGTTGGTCTGGACATGTTTTGGTTGCTACCTTCGACGATAACCGGTAAAGGTGAGTACACATCTCTAATGGAACTCGCGTACCTAGGATCCACTAATCCACGTTTCACACAGATTTCTTTCCTTTTTTCCACGGCCATCTGCAGGCGAATGGTACCTTGTTTTTCGTGAAATGCGCGGAGTTTCTCACAATCAATCTCTAAAAGACTCGTCAGCGTTGCACTCATGTCGGGGTCTGTGCCTCTCTCTAAACGCATATTGTTCTCGGCCATCTCTTTTTCTATTTCTAACAGCCACGGATTAGAGAATGCTTTTTTTACTTTCTCTTGCTCATCTCTTTCCCTTTGCTTTTCGAGACGTTCTGCCCTATCATTCAAGGCCTGTTGTTCTCTGCGAGCGAGGTCGGTTGGTGGTGGCTCGTCGGGATGCGTAATCAGTCGATCTGCCTGCGATTTGCTGGTCACTCCCAAATTTACTAGATATCGTCGACGTCCGGCGATTTGACGATCTTGGATGGCTTTGTGCTGTGTTTGAGCGTTTCGCAGGAGCATGCTCAGCTGTCTGTGCCGAAACCCACCCGGCACCACCTTTTCGAGCTCATGGCGAAGCTTGTCTATGTGGTTGTTATCTTCATTTTCATCGGAGCTGTCGCTTTCGGCTTCACTCTCCTCTTCATCCGTGAGTGAGATTTCACCGCCTTCCGTGTTGCACTCGGGGGCGTGCTCGTCCAGTAGGGAAACGGACAAAATTCTCTGAATGTCTTCACTTTCTAAACCGTCCTCACGCTCTCCTGAAGTCCTTCCAGTCTGTGCGGTAGTGGAGTTTGTAGCAACCATCTTTTGGGCCCATACGATGCAGTCCATTGCATGTTCTCGCAGCCACTGGTTGGCCTCCGGGTTAACTTGCGGCAAGCTTCTGAAGAAGTACTTGTGAAGTCTTCGGTTCATCGCGTCATTGTGGGCCTCGCCAAAGTCCATCTCCTGTTGACATGTAATGTACATACTTGCACGGCAGTGGAACCCCTGGGCCTTCTTCCATTTCACATCGTGGGATGTAAAACCGCCTTGACAAATTATCTTCCAGTCATCTATGTCGAGCAGGTTGTTGTATGCCTCGTCGAGAAAGATAACTTCCGTGGAGCTGTCAATCATCGACTTGTTAAAGCTCTTCTGTTTGGTCACGCGAGCGATTCGGCTTAACGGCACAATTTGAAACACTGGGCTGAACAGGCTCGTTTTGCCGCTGTCAGAAGCTCCGATGGCACATGGCACAGGTCGCTTATGTTCTTTATCTCTGAATAGCGCGAGAAAAGCAGCGCAAAACTGTTGTATTTGCCCTTCGGGTAGGCTATTGGTTAGAATTTGCTCGAAGTATTTAGGATCGGGCTCTTGGAGGCTGTCATAGTGGACATACGCTCTTGGTGATGTGATACCTCGCTGTAGAAAAGAGAAAAAAAAACTGTTAAAACATACAGACATGTAATAAATAGGTAAAAGAAGAAGTAGAAACCTTTACCCGCCAACAAACTAGGAGTAGTCCTAGATTAGGTAACTCGAAACTGAATAGCACTTGATTTGACATATTCCAAGGTTAAATATGTTGTATAGTAATAGAAAAACGACTTTTCTAATGAACAGATACCTTGTCATTTTAGCCAGCAGATAAATTTTAGCCAAGAAAATTGTGATAACGGAATTAAAACAACCTTTACTGATGAAAACGTATGCTCTCACCTCTGATTCTGGGATCACTCCTTTTACAAAAGCTCCTTCAGAGAAAGACCAAAACCAGCCATTCTGCACTTCAACCAAGTTTCGATCTATTTTAAGTTGGCCAATCAGGGAACTTTCTGGCTCACTCAGAAGTGGTAGAACTCGTTGAAAATGTTGGACAAGCCTGTCTTTGAAGCACTCGTTCCCCATAAGATTTAACAGAAATGACTTCATGGAGCAAAGAAACTTGAAAGTAAATTGTGATTCTGCAACTTTCTTGTACACATCTCCCCGGTAGACACTAAACTGAAGCTTTTTCATAGCGGCATGGATGTCGTTACAAAGAACTGTTAGTGGGCAAGACAATGGCTTATGTGGTGTACACGGTATTTCTACGCCCGGGGTGCTGCTTTCGTTTTCATGGAGACCAAAACAATCGATTTTCAAACCAGCGCGGCGCAATTCTCGGATAGATGTAGCCATCATCGGTTTGAATTCTTCCCTAAGCACTCGCACACGAACCACATTTTCTGTCGACAACATTTCTTGAGACTGTTCGTCATCACAAATATCTATTTCGTCTTGAAGGGCGCTGTCAATAAAGAATAAAAAACAGACAAGTTTACTATCTCAGAATAAATTTTTGACTAGCGCATCAAAGTTTGAATTAACGCTCTTTTTCGTGTTAAAATTCCCAGATGGTCTAAGTCGCACTTAATTAGCCACTTGCACCCTTGCATATTGTTACTTATTTGAGTCAAGACAGTTAATTAGAGACATTGCTTGACTACGAGAAGATGGCAACAATAAGGGTGGACTCCTAGGTGTTGATTTCTTTGGTTAACTATGGATCCTTGTTGATAGTATTCAGACCATACCCGCAGTTTACGGTTAAATCACTGTACCCTTCAACATCAGATACTGATTTCAAGATGCATGCTATTAGTATTCTGGCCATATCCGTTGTTTACGCTTATATCGCTTTTCACTGTAACATCAGTAAGCAATTTCTTAACCTATCTCTTTAGTATTCAGGCTATTCCCGTGTTTTTAGCTTATCCTGCAATAAACTCTGGGATCGGAAAAGTCTTCAGTAACCCATGCTTCTCACTTTTCGGATGTAAACAATGCAACAAATAGGAGTATTAGTCTAGCAGCAGCAGCAGCAGTACTAGTAGTTGTTGTTGTTGCTACTTTTAATTTGTAGCAAAATCATTAGAAAAATGAGAGAAATTGGTTTTGTGGGAATTTCTCTTGTTAGACCAAGTGAATAGCGTGTTTAACGTGAACAGCGTGTTTGCTTTTCCTAGGCTTCTTTAACTTTAAGGACCGAAAGAGGAAAGGGAACTAAAATTTTGGGGAATGATCATCATCATCATCATCATCATCATCATCATCATCATTTACAGCATCGTTGTCATTTTCATCATCGTCCTCGTCATCATCATTATCATCATCATTCTCATCATCGTCAGCATTATTGTCGTCGTTAACATCATCGTTATCATCATCGTCAGCATCATCATCACATGGTGTCAACATCATCGTCAGCAAAATCCTCAATACCATCATCATCATCATCATCATCATGCAGGCAACAACTGTCAATAGTTTACGTCTAGACCTCTTCACATCATGGTGCCTGATCAAGCTGTCCAGCTTGTCAACGTTCACTGTTCCTATATCTCTCAAGAAGTCAAGAGCACACGTTGATCTGAACTTATTATAAGAGCTTAGTTTTCCCTCCCTCCTTTCGTTATTGGATCAATGCGTGTAATTAGAAATTATGAGAAAGAAAAAGCAAAAACAAAAAAGCAAAGACAAAAGCGACTTGGCGGTTCCAGAAATTCGGATAGTCAGGCCGTCCTTGTATACTATGAAATTGGCTCAGTTGAAAATTTTGATGCAATAGTTTGAAATTTAAAGTTATATAGACCAGTAGGGATAAAAGTTAAAAATAATGACTAGTGCACAAAAGAATAACGACGAAAAAAGTAAATAATCTAAAGAATGGAACAAAATGGAACTTAATAATAATAATAATAATAATAATAATAATAATAATAATAATAACAATAATAATAGTAATAGTAATAATAATAATGACAATAATGATAGTAATAGAAAAGGAAAAACACTAGTAGTGGCAACTAAAAAGACTTTAGAAATTTAAAAGATAAATTTATTGCTGGATTTTTGAAACAAGACTGCTTTAAAGTCCTCGCAGTTTTATTTACAATAATCAATCAAGTCTTTTTTGTTGGAATTATTTCCTTTTCTCTTATTATTACCATTATCGTTATCATTATTATTGTTTTTCTTATTCTCATATTATTTATTTTATTTTCAATTTATCATTATATATTCTTTATCAAGTATTATTCTTATTTTACTATTTTTCTGTTTATTTTTCTTTCGTTTATTTATTTCTTTTTTAAGTTCATTTTTGTTCCATTTTCTTCATTTATTTTCTTTTTTGCCATTTTTCTTTCCCTTTGTGCTTCAAATGAGTCCATCATGTGCTTCATTTGCATGGTATTATTTTTAATTTTATCCCCACTGGCCTTTTGTAAATATTACGAGAAGAACGCCAAGATCATCTGAACTATCGGGAAAACTCAAGTCCCTTTTGCCTTTGTTCTTGTGTTATTATAGGTCTTGAGCTGGACAATTCACTTTATACACTACTTGCACATCTCCCATAATGCACCTTTTTTGCCCTCCAAAATTGTCCATAACCTTTGTTTTTCATTTCTCCTGGGCATTACAGCTATCCCAAGAGAAATTGAAAACAATGCTTCAACGCAAAATTTTGGGAGGCAAATAAAGTACATTATGAGAGATGTACAAGTGGCGTATTTCTCTCCCCCCCCCCATACTTGTCATTTAACGGGCCACCCTGAGAGCGAGGTCGGGCTCGGGGTAGGATCCTCTCCCACTCAATCCCAAAAAGGCGCCCTGGGGACGAGATTTCCCCGACCCTCGAGAAGCTCTGCGATACACACCTTCCTAGTTTAAGTCTCAATACACGTTTCACCTGCTGAAGAACGTCGTATGTGTAGATACATTGTCATCACCACCACCGTCCCTGTTTGCCACTGACAGCACTTCTTAATCTTCGTCGTCATCATCACCATCGCTATCAGCAAGATAATAAATCATCATAATCAATGCAATAGGTGTCATCAATTGGGCCAGCCCTTTACTCATAATCATGACGGTACATCTCTCTAGAAAAAGGAGAAAAGGGTGCAAGCAGATAAAGTGAAAAGAAACAAACCTAAATGCAAGGCTGGAAGGAAAGGCTGAAGCTTTTGACAGAATTAACATGGAGCTACCCCCTTTTATCACCCCGATTTTTTCAGCTTTAACACATGCTTAGTCCTTTTAATTCAATAAAAAACTTTTATTAGAATTTTTTTCTGCCCACAGCTTCCATCTGAGCCCAATTTATTTACAGACAAGTCTTGTACTTACCTCTGTCGAGTTGAGCAAGATCCAACATATCATTTTCAATTCACTGGCGAGGATTTCATGACAGCAGCTAGCCGCGACCAGGCGTCACATCTGAAGTCTTAATGACCTGAATAATATATATCTCAAGAAACAAGAAATTTAGCTTTCAGCAACTGAGAATCTATTACATATTTCGCCCCTCTTAGTAGGCCTAGGTTTGAATCCCACTAATACCTCGTAAATCAAGCGACCTTCATGGATTAGAAGTCCAATGAACAGGGGCGGATCTAGGGGGAGGGTGCAGGGGTGCGCACCCCCCCTGAGATGACCTGCGGTTTTCTAATACAACTGGTATTCTGCAAAAAAAATTATGTGGTTTATTGGTGTTGAAGTAGAGCAAGAGACGAGTGCACCCCCTCCTAAAAAAATCCTGGATCCGCCCCTGATGAAGGAGAGGATGTGTTCTAATGTGCAAAATTAGGCACCTTCAGCTATAAGAAAACTGCATTTAGACAACACTAAAAGTTACGACATGTCTCCACTTAATTCAATTTCCGTTTTTTGATGAAGTTTGCTTATAGTCATGAACAGCTAAACATACGGGTTTAAATTCAAAAAAGAGCCTCTTTTTTGCAGCTTTTAGTAAGGGACCTGCAAGTCTAAAACTTAAGCAAAGGCCATGAGCATCTTGTTACCAGTTTCCTTTCCTTTTCCTTCCGTATAGTTTTTTTTCTCTGTACTTACCTATGGGTCTGCCAAGCGGGTTTTCGTCCAGATCACTTTGTAGCAATTAAGAGACTTTCGGGTTGCACTATATGCTCTCTGTCATCAGGAATCCTCTGACCTGAATATAAGGTTTCTCGAGAACATGAATTTAGAAAACAAGCAACTTTTTATCCTTGGTTATTACTGCTGAATGTGAAACTAATTTCTTTTAATCCTTGGCTGTTTGTTCCTCCATGTAGTTTTGGTCTGTTTGGAACATGACTTCTTGGATTTGTGTTAAATTAAAACACGACACTCGTCAAAAGTAGGTTGAGTTTGATCGTCCGGGTGAACGTAGTCCTGAATAGGACTGTTGTTGTTGACAGTGACTGACGTTTCCACAACCTGTGCGGTAGTCATCTTCAGAGTCAAAGTGAGTTGTATCACGTCAGTTGATGGTATTATACTCTGGTTATTGATCTGATTGGTCGTCTGTCAGTTAAGCCGTGATGTTATTGGCTATGAAGACTCGTAATCAGTAATTGGTGCGTTTCGATCCGCCACTGAATCGTAGCCAACAGTTACCAGCGCCGTACAAACGACTTATTGACGAGATCAAGCAAAACTAACTACGAGCGAATGACAATTTGACTAACAATAGACGACTGTTTTAACTGTGACAATATTCAGTCACTGTCAACAACAACAGTCCTATTCAGCTGTTGACCTGTACTCGAATTTCCCCTAATTTGGACTTAGAAATAAGTCTTTCTCCCTACAAAATCAGAACGTATTTCAATGTAAAAATTGTTTTTAAGTTTGGAATGCCTACTGTTTTGTGAGAGGTCTACAAAACTGCAAAGATGCCAGATTTTATGATCAATTACATGCCTTGTAGTAAGCAGAAAAAAAGGAAAGACAAAATTCGAGTGAACGAAAAAATAACCTTAGACGTCATCACGTGGTGGTAACATTTGCTTGGAAAACCCGGGTCTTATCATCAGGATAAATGAGATCAGTTTCCATGTTTATTCATCATTTTTATTTGAATCTTGGCTCGTTAAGAAGGATTTAAGAATAATTAGCAATTATTAATTAGTTTCTAAAACTCAACGAAATCCAGCTAGTAGGGTATACTGGACATACCAGATGTCTACTTTTCGTCCGTATCCTTTCCCCCATAGGATCTCCGGCGCCATCCAGTATGTGGT